ACTAGTGGTAGTAGTAGTGGTAGAAGTAGTGGTAGAAGTAGAAGTAGAAGTAGAAGTAGAAGTAGAAGTAGAAGTAGAAGTAGAAGTAGAAGTAGTAGTAGTAGTAGTAGTAGTAGTAGTAGTAGTAGTAGTAGTAGTAGTAGTAGTAGTAGGAGTAGGAGTAGTAGGAGTAGTAGGAGTAGTAGGAGTAGTAGGAGTAGTAGGAGTAGTAGTAGTAGTAGTAGTGGTAGTGGTAGTGGTGGTAGTGGTGGTAGTGGTGGTAGTGGTGGTAGTGGTGGTGGTAGTGGTAGTGGTAGTGGTAGTGGCTGAGCCTTTTTGTCCTTCATTTTATGGACGACCAAAACCCAAGAACACCTCAAGTATCCGAAACTGTGGTAAACATGGTACAGGCTTTGTGTTCGATTGTGTTCACCGACAGTAGGATCATTGCTGCACTCCTTGCTCGAGTGGGGTTAGCAGCCAGGGTGTTCAAGAAATTCACGGCGCAGTATGCAGTTTCTGCATGTCACTTCGGGTTTAGGGTGAGGGTTTAGGGTTTAGACTTTGTCAGCCTAGGTACAGCGGCCACATGCCGGCCATGCCGGCCATGCCTGAAAGCCAGCCCAGCGCATCCAGCAATGTGTTGAAAACCCGTATTGATTTTTCCGCGGAAATGGGGGACTGCCAACATGACTACAACTCCTACATTCAGCCCTCAGGCATGAAGTTGTTTGTGGCTTCGACCGACAAGGGCACAGTGTTCCGAACCGCGTCTGCGCGCAGGCTTGGTGTCCAAGCAGTTTTTGCTTCGTATGATCTGCAGGCCTGCGCTGTGATGCTGGTTACTGTTGCGGCCTGAGCAAGTCGGATGTTGCAAGAACAGGTGTTGAGGGAAAGAAGCCGTATTGAAAACCCGTATTGATAATTCGGCGGAAATGGGAGAAGGCCGACATGTTTGCAAGTCCGACATTCTGCCCTCAGTCATGAAGTTGTTTGAAGTTGTTTTTGATTTCGACCACCGAGCAGTTCTTGCTTTGTATGATCTGCAATCCTGCGCTGTGATGCTGGTTACTGTTGCGGCCTGAGCAAGTCGGATGTTGCAAGAACAGGTGTTGAGTGTTGAGGGAAAGAGGCTGTATTGGAAACCCGTATTGATAATTCGGGGGAAATGGGGGAAGGCCAACATTTCTGCAAGTCCGACAGTCTGCCGTCAGTCATGAAGTTGTTTTTGATTTCGACCAACATGGGCACACAGTCTTCCGAACCGCGTCTGTGCGCAGGCTTGATGTCCAAGCAGTTTTTGCTTCATGTGATCTGCAGGCCTGCGCTGTGATGCTGGTTACTGTTGCGGCCTGAGCCAGTCGGATGTTGCAAGAACAGGTGTTGAGGGAAAGAAGCCGTATTGAAAACCCGTATTGATAATTCGGCGGAAATGGGGGAAGGCCAACATGTTTGCAAGTCCGACATTCTGCCCTCAGTCATGAAGTTGTTTTTGATTTCGACTAACATGGGCACACAGTCTTTCGAACCGCGTCTGTGCGCAGGCTTGGTGTCCAAGCAGTTTTTGCTTCATATGATCTGCAGGCCTGCGCTGTGATGCTGGTTACTGTTGCGGCCTGAGCAAGTCGGATGTTGCAAGAACAAGTGTTGAGGGAAAGAAGCCGTATTGAAAACCCGTATTGATAATTCGGCGGAAATGGGGGAAGGCCAACATGTTTGCAAAGTCCGACATTCTGCCCTCAGTCATGAAGTTGTTTGAAGTTGTTTTTGATTTCGACCAACATGGGCACACAGTCTTCCGAACCGCGTCTGTGCGCAAGCTTGATGTCCAAGCAGTTTTTGCTTCATATGATCTGCAGGCCTGCGCTGTGATGCTGGTTACTGTTGCGGCCTGAGCAAGTCGGAGGTTGCAAGAACAGGAAGGAGCGACGGCCGCTTCAATCCAAATCTTTCTTCAGCGGACAGTTGCCGTGCAGTTCTCGCGTAGCCCTAGCATTCTCCTTGATGAGATGATCCCCCGACGCAGCTTCACGACAGATTGACGCATTTGTGCCTGGCATGCCTCCGCAGGAACCGTGTGCCACCTTAAACTGCCAAGCTGTAAGGTCTAACTGCCATGTCCGAGCTTCTGCCCGGAGCTGAGACGCAAAGACGGCCATGGCCTGTAGCCCTGCACCTTAACGGGGCTCCGTGGCTGCGGTCTGCCCGTATGCCGTCCCTCGACTTTGAGCTCCAAGCCCTCATCTCTGATTCTCGGATGCAAGCCCCAGTCCCTTCGTCCTGGAGGATGAAGGATCCCTCCTCCGAAGCTCAAGCCTGAACAATGACACCAACCCCAGGCTTTGAACGACGAGAGGTGTGGCAGTAAGTGAACACACTTGGACAATGAGCCTTCCAGCCTCCCAAATCCTGAGCGCTATCTCTGCTTTAGGCCCTGCCAGTCTTCGACTGTTCGGCGAACCTGCCGGTCGGAAGCTCAAGAAGGGTGCACTGCCTTCATAGCATCTTCTTGCCACCACCACCACCACCACGACTACTACTACGTCTACTACTACTGCGACGACGACGACTACCACTGCTACTGCTGTTTACGACGCTTGACTTGCAGCGAGTGCACGGCTTGGGCTTGGGGCCAAGGGCTTTCGGGCAGTGCTGCGGACTTTATGTCTTGGGCTTGGGGCTGGCTTTCAGGCAGTGCTGCGGACCGTGTTGCTGCGGGTGTTGGTTTTGAGAGTTTATGGGGGGGCTGCAGAGCTGTGCTACGCGGACATGTTGTTTGTTCAGGAAGACGACGTTTTGATGTGTGTGGCTCGAATAGTATCTGTATCGATAACGCGTCGATAACGATTTTGCTGACTTTTGCTAGCCTTTAAGACTATGGCCCATTTAAGCTTCGAGCGCTACTCTGAGGTCGAGCAGGCCGTTAAGAGGTTGATTTCGGGTTTGAGGTTGGTCTTCAAGTATCGAACAGACTTGCAGTAGCTCGACGGCTGTTGTTTACCGCTTAGGGCTTTGGAGCTGGCGTGGCTTTCCCGGGCGTTGCCACCAACAAGAGTCATGCATACCTGTCTCCCACTGACTCGCTCACGCTAAATCGAAATACCAAAATCATCCAAAATCGGTAACATCAAAACAGGAGACCGCTTCCCGCATGTTGAAGATTGCCACGCGCTTCTATGCACGGGTCACTCAGAACAGGTCTTTTTCCAGAGACCTCTCCCCGAAACAGGTCCCTCACAGGTCTTCCTGCAAAGGTCGAGTTGGTCTCCTTGCACGGCCGCCCTAGGGCAGAGGTGACGGTCCAGAAGTCCCCTTCCACAGGTCCCGATCGTCGTTTGAAAGGTTCTTGAGAGGCACCCCCAGAAGTCCCTTGGTGCCGCACAGTCTGTGCAAGGACTTTCCTGAACGAGACAGTTCCCGCTCCACACGTTCGTGGTAGGAGGTCGCAGACGAGCGGAAGGGACCAGACCCGACTGAAAAGAACCGGGATTCAGGCCAGCGTATATTTCAACTTGCCTGACTCAGGCATGCCGCCGCCTATGGGGGAACGACCCCCCTCCCAACCAGCTGCGGTTTTGACAGCCAGAAAAGCAGGAGGAGTGCAGGTTCATTTGCCGGGTAGCAACGGGTCCGCCTCCCTTTTTCTGTGGTTACCAGATCCACTGCTGCTGCCGCAGCTTGTATTGCTATCTCAACACTTTGCCAACATATGGCAAGCTCTACAAGTGGAGTTCAACAGTGTGTCGCGTTGCCATCCCGGTTCTCTGACCGAGCTCATGCTACACGGTGGTTCAGACCAGTTCCCAGATAGTCGACGTCCATTCTTGGGGCAGCATTCTCACTTGTTGGAGTCCGATGACGGCTTAACTATTTACATGAGTAGTTGAAGTTGAGCCATCAGCTGGAGCACTTACATTTTGAAGCAGCGTCGTGCAGAAGACCAACATTGTTAAGATAGCAAGCAGCGGTCTTAACGTGGATCTTTGTGAAACCACCTCGTTCGTGAGTTGTGGAATGGGATTGGGTGCTTCAATCTGCAACGTAAAACTTGCAGCTGAACGTAGCCGTGCACCCTGATGTGCAATTGTCTGGTTCATGCGGACCCCGTGACGCAAAGAGGCCCTCGCGTATGACTTTCAATAGCTGGCAAGAGACATGGCAGCGGAGTGTGCGTGCATCATCTGCGTGTGTGCTTTTGCTCTGTTGTTTGTGAGAAGCATGCGGTGGGCTGTCACCATGTTTCACATGCTATCGCACGAGCATCCCAAGCCAGGGTTCCCCCCACTGCGTTTTGTCCGGTGTGACTCAGGCGACACAATAGCCCAGGAGCTTGCCAGCCAAATGGGGATACATCAAGCGTTTTCACTTGTTGCTGCCCAGCAACCTAGCCATGGTTTGCAGCTCTCATCAACCTGTTTGCCAGAGGAACCTAGACAGTGACCTTCGAACTAGCATGCAGTGGTGCACGTGCTCTAGCTGTCCTGTTCCTTTGACAAGACTCGTCACGTCCCCGAGTCCAAAGTGGCTGCGCCATTGTGCGCGGCGGCAGGCAGTGCCAGTCCCCAAAGCCAGCCAGCCAGAGAGAGAGAGAGAGAGATCGTGGAGGTGTTCACAGTCGTCCTGGGGTCCTGCCATGTGGTGTGTGGTCCTTCAATGTTTGCTTCAGTTCTGACCTAACACAATGTAATACAAGTCAGCGAACATGAATCGTAGCATGAAGAAGCGACACCCCGAGCATGACCGCGTTCTAGTATGTGACCATGGGCTAGTCTATCGCACAGGAGGAGTCATTTGACGATTCTCACGTAGTTTGATCTCAACAGATCGAAGTCGATTTTCACAGATGGCACACAGGGCACGGACCCTGCAGCAGCGGCTCCAGCTGAAAGTTGGGCGGGGAGCCTGCCAATCCGCGCCTGGCCGAGGCTTATCTGCATTGCATGTTTGCAACAGCAATACTTGACAGTGTATGGGGCATAGTGGCATAGTGGTGCGCAGGCACCACAACCCGAGATTCCGATATGGGGAGTGCGGGTACCGTCTCCTGGCGTGCAGGGCTCAGCATTGGCAGGCAATGTTTGTTCCATGAGTTGTTTCCAGTTTTGTACACAGGCAAGCTGCAGCGGCTGCACGACTTGTGTGGCCAGTTGGCTTTGCGCCGCGGTGCTGCCAGAGCCTTGGATTCCATCCCATTTCGCGTCGTTGTGTCTTGGTCGGTGGTGAATGTTCCCGATGTGCTCGACCTGATGTTCGATGCAGGATTATGACATGTCAAAGTTCGATGCCCTGAAGAAGAAAGTGGGCGAGATTGCCATGGGCCTGTTCTCCTGCTTCGGCTTGACCTCGCAGACTATAGCATCGAAGCTAAGGTGCAATGCGGAGACAAGACGACGCAGGCTTCTGTTGCTCTGCGTCGTTGCTAGGAATTTCATTCCTGATGGAACGTCGTAGGTGGATGCGGATCGTCTCCGGGTTCTGCACGACCTTTTGAAGAGGTGGCTAGTGCAGCATTATCTCGCTAGTTCTGTTTTGGGCTGCGAAAGCTTCCTTTCAGGGTGGCAGTGCTGCCAGCTGGACATGGTGTCGAGACAGAGGCCCGTGTTTGATGCAGCCCGAAGTGGAAGGGAGTCATGTTGTCGTTCCTCCCACCGTGCTGTTATTTCGTATTCATCAGATGCCTCGTGTCTACACATGCTTTACATCATTTGCTCAGAATCACTGGCGAAGGATGCGACAAGCCCGGCAAGCTTGCCAGATGGGGGTGGAGTGCAGGACGCCGAGCCTGCACTGATGCTTTCTTCGAAGGGAGCATTGCATTTGCGCCGCAGTTCTGTTGCAGGACGCGTGCCGGCGCGATTGCATGGAGCTTGAACTCCAAGGTGGGACGTCAGGACCCCGGTTGAGGCATAAGTCATTCAAGGTCACAGGCATGTGCCAGCTTCTCGGCATACAGACGCGTGAGTCAGCCGAATGCTAAAGGCGGGAGTCCCGAGAAAACATACAGGGTTGAATACTCCTTCAGCAGCCTACCACTTCCACTGACTCACCTTCTCTCCTCCCTCCCGTTGCTTATCAAGTTGCTGTTGTGGGTTTGTACGACATATGCCACTCGAGAGGGTGCGCCCGAGGCACCTTGCCAAAACGGCAAGCACGGTGCCAACGGCCGGCCCCACGTATTGTTCGTCTCCTGGCACGGTCTCCTGGCGTGCAGGGCTCAGCATTGGCAGGCAATGTTTGTTCCATGAGTTGTTTCCAGTTTTGTACACAGGCAAGCTGCAGCGGCTGCACGACTTGTGTGGCCAGTTGGCTTTGCGCCGCGGTGCTGCCAGAGCCTTGGATTCCATCCCATTTCGCGTCGTTGTGTCTTGGTCGGTGGTGAATGTTCCCGATGTGCTCGACCTGATGTTCGATGCAGGATTATGACATGTCAAAGTTCGATGCCCTGAAGAAGAAAGTGGGCGATATTGCCATGGGCCTGTTCTCCTGCTTCGGCTTGACCTCGCAGACTATAGCATCGAAGCTAAGGTGCAATGCGGAGACAAGACGACGCAGGCTTCTGTTGCCCTGCGTCGTTGCCAGGAATTTCATTCTTGATGGAACGTCGTAGGTGGATGCGGATCGTCTCCGGGTTCTGCACGACCTTTTGAAGAGGTGGCTAGTGCAGCAGGATCGCCCAAAATCTGCTATGGGCAGTGACAACTTGTTTTCTTTTCAGGGTGGCAGCGCTGCCAGCCGGAGTCTGAGCATGCCGCAACAGTTTGGTTGATTATGGGATGATTATGGGTCCTTGGGCACTTAGGCCGTGTCTTTCTGCGATGGAGGCCTTCTGATGCAAAGCCTCGTTGCACAGTGACAAGTTCCCGGCCAAGTGGCACGCCGACTCGCGAGACTGTCACCTATGTCCCGGAAACGTACGTAAGCTCTGCAGCGCCGTTGCTAGCCGTGAGTTGGCCCGACTCATCCCGCACACAGCTCGGCGATCGGTGGGTGCTGTATCTGCAGTTCCTTCATCCCTTGAGCCCGTAGCCAGGGGCCGACAGAGCATTTGTAGGGAGAACAACTCCTGGCTGATGCTCTAAGGCCCATAGCTGCACGTGCTCGTGTACCGCAGTCGTTCACTTTCACTGGCAAGTAGAAAAGACAAATGGCAGCCGGAGAGGATACTTATTCCAACTGCTTCACATGCTGCACGTCCTCACTGCTTACTGTTTATGTTGTTGGAGTGTTGTGCTTGTCATTGGTGTTTTTGTTGCTGTGTCGAGTCCTGCTCAAAAACATCTACAATCACAGCTTGCTCAGCAATTGGATGCGTGCTCGTTTTGCTCACTCAGTTATTGACAATGTTCTCACCACTCGTTGGGTCTTTGGTTCAGTCTTTATTCAGTGAGGGCGCAGGGAGGCGAGTACATATCCCAATGTTTCTTCCATCCAGGCCAAAAGCGGGTGCCTTCCAGAGTCACACCCTCGAAGAACCAATATGTGGATCCACCTAAGCTGCGCTGTTCTGTTTCGCAACAGAAGTAGTTGCATGGGACACTTCTCCATGGTGGCTGGCACTCGGCCTCTTTTTGAAGCGCTACATCTGGGCTGCGAAGTTACGGCTAGTAGGTCGTCGTTTGATGGCTTTGATGGTTCGGCTATTGGTTTGTGTGCATGCCTTGATCTCCTTGCCTGTGGCTGTTGGCTCACGTGATGGTAGTTGCTTGCAGTCTTGCCCATCGGCCAAGTTTCCAAGTCAACGGGGCAGATGGCGTCGTGGCAGAGCTTGAAGGCAAGGAAGCCATTGAGAGCTCGTTTCTGTAACGTACCATGCCACTTGTAGGACCTCGGGCTGGATGTAGTCGAGCAGCCGCCTCAGGCGAACAAACCCTCGCATTGACGATCATGGTGACCGCACTTGTGGCAGCGCAAACAATTGTTCCTCTTGTCCGCCTGGACCGAGGAAACCCGTGCAAGAGCTTCGAAGGGCAATTTGCTCTACAGCACAGGCACGCGGACAGAACATCCTTCATCTTTGCGCACAGCTTGGGAAACGCTTTGTAAACACCCAACACCATCTGACATGTCGAGCACGAGTGACAACAAAACACCCAACACCATGAATCACCCTGTGAGGCGCCTGCCGTCCGAAACTCGGCATTGGAGACGAAGCAGGCGAAGATGGGCTTCGAGATGCAGAAGCAGGCTAATATCAGAGATGCGTGTAGACAGGTACAGGGGACAATGGTGTCACGGAAAGGCCCTTCCTTGGATAACTCATTGGGCATAAGTGGCCTGCGCTTTGCTGCTGCGGATTTAGGGCACTGAAGCGAGAAAGGTTTATTCTCGCAGTTGTCAGGGGTTTCTATTGCCGTATTGCATGCTCGATGTAATGGAAGCCCTGCACCGATTTAAGATGTGTTGGCAGGTGACCGCCGACATGGCATGATTCGGCATGTTATCTTCACGTCTTGACCTGAACACACAAACCGCAGGAGCCAGCCGAACCGGTGCAAGTCAAGCAAGAAGTGACCAAAGAGATAGAGGCACAGGGTTCAGCGCAGCAGCCGTCAGTTTTTGACACCCAATTTCTTGCAAAGAAGCTCCGCGTATCGTGTCGGAGTTGTCATCGTGAGCTGATGTTGTTTGCGGAAAGGGTTTCAAAGTCACGAAGTACGGAAACAACCCCTGCCATGTGTCTTTCCAAAGTGCCCCGTAAGCCGGGGCCTATGGGCTTCGCATCAGTTTCGGTAGAAGTGGATAGCTTTGCTGTCTTCCTTCACAACACAGAAGATGGAGGCATCCTGCGATGCACTGCTCTGCAGTGGAAGGCATCCCGTATTAATTCGCCAACCTCTCCCTAGTCCAAAATGCTATGCCCTGCTGGCCTAAACCCTGAAGCCTGTGACCCTAAACCCGAAACCCCTCACCCTAAAACCGAAGCCGAGAGGTGAAGGATGAAGTTAAGGAAGACTCGGAGGCAGATGCGTGATTGGTCATGCTCGTGGGTTAGGGCAATCATCTGGAGCCAACATGTTTACATGTTTCGCTTGATGCTGCTGATTGTCTGCCCCTAGACATCGTATGTGAGATAGACACCAAAGCATGGTTCCACCATCTGGCCGGCTCCTCCCACGCCCCCAGGCCCTTAGGCCCGCTGCATGCCAATCACATCCAAACTTCATCCTTAGAACTGAAGCACAGTGAAAGCGCGACCAACCGCGGCAATTTGAAGAAGTGCCTTGCTCGTTTGAATACATGAACCTGCCTGGTCTTCCAGTGCATGGACCAAATCTCGCTTGAATTGCCCAGTGTTGTTCCATGCAGGATCCGCTCAAGTGCCGGCAGCTTGTGGAAGATAATACCAACACCGCTGCCGCTGTTGTGGACCAATGCATTGAGGCAGGCAATTGTTGGTTCAGTTTTGCCTTGCTCTGTCGCAACAGCCGCATCTTGCAGATACTGACTTCGATGATGAAGTGAGTGCAGCCACCCGGAATTGGACCACGATTGCTTGATCGTGGTCCTCCCCACTCTTCTAGAGAGTTGGTTCCAGAGAAGGGCTGCGAGCGTAAGTCTTGGCCCTACCTCGCAATGTGCTTGGCAGCCATCTTGCTTGAACTGTTGATAATTCACCGTCCGCTTCAAGACTTCATGCTGGCGAATGAACCATCCTGGGCAACTTGGCTGCCCCATCTGCGCATAGTTCCATGCAGTGTGGGCAGTAAAGGCACTACTGTATGATTTGTTGAACATGGCGTCTGGCGAAAGGACAAAACCGCTTGTGAGAGATGGCAAGGCGTGACTTCGTTTCAATGCGAACGAGCGGCCGCTCATGACATCGTGTTGCTTTTGTTGATGTTTTTTGTCCCAGACTTGACGCTGGATTTGCTCTGCAAGATCGCAGCATGACAGCTTGCCACCAATCTGTCAGCATAACGTACCACAAGGCTGTGTTTTCAGTAGCCTTCTGTACCAACCCGAGATTGACGGTGACCCAAAATCAGAAGCAGAGTTCTGGCGGTTGTTTTGTATGTGCAGCCGGCTCCCAGCAGCAACTTCGTTGAAGCATTGTTCGGCCATCCAAGCAACGTGGGTTCTTACACCAGTTACGGCCCTGAAACTGCACCGGTGTCTCGCAAGATCTTGACGTTGGTTAGGTTAGAGCTGTCAGTTGCTGTAGAGGGTAGCTGTCGCCATTGTCAGGGCTATTGCCCCTTTGGGGCTGCTGTCGCAAGGATTCTAGATGAGGCCAGGGCAGAACCTGGTTCACGAATGAAGATCAGCGTTCAGCGTCTGGGACGTCTTGAACTTTGGGGTTATAGTTCAGCTACGGATCTCCAGCCAGTGCTGATCGCGGAACCGTCGTCATCACAAGCTCTAGCACCGCCGCACTGGCTCTCATTTCATCCAAAGGCAGCGGAAGCGGCCCGTCCTGCGATGGCACGGCGCCCAAGATTTGGAGCTCTAGAGTTCGAGGTGCAGGATGTAGAGCTCGGAGCTATAAGGGCTCTCTGGATTTCAAGTTCGAGGCTTAGGTACCCATGATCACGGTGTCCCAGCGTGTCGTAGTGGGTATGATGGGGCTGAATGGCGAGTAGTTCGGGGTCTAGCTCGGGATAGGGTTGGGGTTAACTCGGATATGTGCGTGCCGTAAGGCAGCTGACGCGAATGACCCAGTCGTCTGAATAAAAAAAGCTTTACAAGCGAATAAGTGATGGCAAATCCCCACTCGCAGTTGCATTTCCTTGCCTTGGCGTTGAGTCCGTACCAAGCCCAGTGTATGCCACTTCCTTAGCCCGTCGGGACCGTTAGGGAGTGGCTGGGCCTTTAGCTGTAGCCCTGTTTAAACCCTAAACCGGATTAATCCCGCTAAACCCTAAACCCTCAAACAAAAACAAAACTAAACCGAAAACCCTAAACCCTAAACCTCCGGCATGTCCGATCTCTCGAGTTGTTTTGTACCAAACCATCGCAACACGACGTTTGGATCTCTAGAGTCTTGAACCAAAACTACCCCCGAAATCGACCTTTTTAACTAAACGAAACCCAGAGAGCGCCTTATTGAAAAGATTCAATAAATGGCGCCTGTTTCAATACCTCAAAGTCGAATCAATAATTCTGGTGAAGTTGTTGGAACTAAGGGATCAGTAGTTTATTGGTTTGTTCCTTCAGATTTAGTGTAGTATTCTGTGCAAACCAATAAGACTCAGACCAATGAAATATGTCACTGCAAAAATGGAGTTGTGCCGTTCGTTCAGCTGTGACTTCGAACGTGTTGCTTTGCAATCGAGGTGTTACACCCGCTCAGACGCAGAGCTGGGGCAGAAGATCTCAGGCCCAGCTTGTCAGTCAGAGTTTCTGCGCACTAAACATGTGTCATTCCAACAATGGTTGTCGCTGTGCCCACTAAACGGATGTGCTGTCATGAAGGCTGGCACATGCAGCACATACAGCGCACTGATGGCAAAACGCATAGTATCTGTGATGCCACGACATATGGCAATCATGGTAACCAGTCTTGCATTTTGAATACAGCGGTGACTCCAAGGTGCATATATGTCCAGCAGCATAAACACTGGTGAGTTCAAGTATCCACGGGGTCGGCTGCGGGACGCCTCTCAATATTTTCGGGCTTGTTGTTTACTTTTACCTGCCAGTGTGGGTGGCGGTGGGGTGTTGTGGGCGGCAGGCGAGCAATAAGATACAGGTGCTTTCGTGGATTCCGAGATAGGAAGTTGAGACAGTGCAGCGACAAACCACAGGAGAAAGCAGCGTGTCTAAGAGTGCCGAAAGGGCAGCTGCATCGGCATGTTGCGCAGATGTTGACGGCGAAGCGGATGCCAAGTTGAATGAGTAAGTCAGCTTGCACCT